TTAAATAAATGTAAAAGTTAAAAAAAAAAAAAAAAAAACACACGTACAAACAAACAAAGAAATGTACAGCCAAAATTTAATTGGTTATTTTTATTTGTACATGGCCAAGTTCCCATGGCTAAAACATTCGATGCAGGTCTCGTGCAACAGAATGGAATAACGTTTCGAATTATGAAAAAACTATATTCCGTCCAGTGTTATAGTCCGGTCACGTCCAATGGTCCAGTTTTATAACTCATATGTATTAAAGATTTTTTCGGGTCATTGTGCTGGGCAAATCACGTGCGAAAGATTTTTTTTCGTAAATACTTATTAGTAGTGATACATAAATAACTTTAAAACTGAAAATCTATTCCTTAAACTGTACTGTTAACTGTTTAGCCAATAAATTTACCTGCAACTTAATAATTTTATATAAAAAAAATATATCTATAAAGTTTATTAATAAAGATTAAGGTTTTAAAATATTTTAATTTTGAAATTAATTTTAAAAAATTTATTATTGTAAAATTTCATATATTTCTATATTAAATAAAAATTACTACCAATACTTTAGGTTTTAGATTTCTATATTATAATATATATATATCTTAATATAATATTTTTATTTTTATAAAGTATTCTTTAAATATATTGTTATTATCATTTATTAATTTATAAATTATCTTAAATTATAATATTTAAATTTTCGTAGTTTTTAATGTATGTTGAGTTTTAGATGTAGTATTTTTATAAAGATTAATTTATCAAAAGATAAAGTATTATATAAAGTTAAATCAGCAATTATAATTTTTTATAGAATTTATTAAATTTAATACCATATAACTAAGATAAATAAATGTCAATGAATTTATTTAATTTTCTTAAATATAATTAATGCTATAAAACAATAGACTTTAAATAAGAATAAAGAACGTGATTTATTAGTAGAAAAAAGTAAAAAAGAGAATTAAAACATGTCTCATTAAACAAACGATAAATAAGTAAAAAGAACTATTTTTTTAATAAATATGCAACGAAGCAATTATTATGATGAACAAAGTTTTCAAATTTACCATTCTGAAATGATTACATTTAATTTGTAATCTTATTTATCATTAACATTTCGGTGACAGAACTTAAATAAATAAATTTTTTTTAAGTTCTATTTAATAAAATTTATATAATAGTTTAGAAGATTAATGCAATTCATTGATCTTACAAAAGGGGAAGAACTTCCCCAGTTCCATAACTGATATAATTCGAGTCTGCGCCATATGTTGAAACATTTTTTTGATTATTTTCAACCGAT